AAGCTTCTTCCTCGTCGGCTTCTTGAACAGGCGTATCACTATCTTCAACGGCCGCGGAAGAAGTAGTGTCCAGGAATACGTCATCATCATCCCAATCATCCTCGCCGATGCCCGAGCTTTGGATAGGGGGTTGCCTCTCCTCGACGGGGAGCTTGATCTCATCCTCCGGATCCCTCATCTTCTGCGGCAGCTTCAGCTGATGAGCAAACTTCGTGGTCAGCTTCAACTCCAGGCATCTACGGCGTAACCTCCGGTAGATTGGCCGAGGTCATAGTACACCTTCATTTCCCTTTCAAAGTACTCTTGCCCTTCAGGACTATGCTGGCCCCAAACTTAGAGCCTAGCCGCCACAACCTCAAAACTCCAAGGCCGACGCTCCTCAACTTTCCAGCCGTTGGCCAAGAACTTATTAATGGAAGCGTCGGCAGCTTTCTCTGCAGCAGCCTCAGCAACCTGCTCGGCCTCAGCTCTGACCTTCTCGGCCTCAACAGCACGGAGACGAACAACCTCATGCGCCTCCTTCTCCTCGACGAGCTTCTTCATGGCATCGTCCATATCGGCAGTCACTTGACGAATTGCCACATCGGCCTCGTCAGCTTTCTTTTTCAGGGCCTCCACATCGCCCCAGGGTTGCTCAATTTCCTTCAGTTGGGCTATCTCCCGCTGCTGCCTCTTATTGCTCTCCATCGGCATGAAGGCAGCCTGCGAATAGCAAAATGCTTAGCACGACGGTGACACCTGCAAGCATGTAAATCAAGAAAATAACAAAGTACATAGCCAACTCACTTGGACAAGGTGGTCCATTCCACTGTCATAGATCTTGACATTACCGAGCCCATTGAGATAAGCCCGGTCCTCGACTGGGACAACCTGGGAGATCACCTCATGGCTGTCAATGATCTCGTTGAACACACCGCCCTTGACGTGGTATTCAACCTCCATCTTGTAGGTCCCTCTGACCAACTCCTTGTCAGACCTCTTCTTACGGGAGTCTTGGACGATAGGGGGAGGCTGAGAGACATTAGTGGACGAAGGACTAGATGTCAGGTCCAGCGGCAGCACTGGAACCTCCAATGTCTCCAGCCGGAACAGTCATGGCCTCGACATCAGCATCGGCCAAGGAAGAAGTCTTCTTTGAATTCTTGGAGGGCTGCAAACCAGCCTCCGTAAGCTTCTTCTGGCCGTCATCCACCGGCCGCTTCTTCGGCTAGGTGGGTGGCTTCTTCGGGTGGTCAGAGCTCGATTGTGCTCCACTTGTCGCAGCTAGCTTTGCAGCCCCCTTGGCGGCCAGTTCCGCGACTACTTTCGCCGCAGCCCTATTCATAACGGATCTGCGGTCCATAACAAAGTCTGCATAGCAAAGGAAACAAACAACGTTAGCAAAGAAAGGAAACAAAACGGGAACAAGGACGCTGAGGAGAGCATTACCATCGGCTTCGGCGGGCATGCCCAAATCTGGGCCATCGGCCTCCTCAAATGTGGCGGTCATCTTTGGCCATAGCTCAACATCGTCCCCTGCATCCCCATACACGAAGTACCTCACGAAGCCAAGGGCGACCATTTTGTACTCAGTGATATAATCTTTCATGCTCCTTGGCCCGTCCTTAAGGAATGCCTCCACCTGAGCATCCAGGAACACACTCTTTGGCACATCATGGAGATTGAACCTCCCGGTATGGCCGATGGAAGGAAACTCAGTCCCTTCTTCGCCGAGTGACACAAAAACAAACTTACTCTTTCAGCTGTGGATGGACAAAGGAAGGTGGGTAAAAGACCTCCTATTCTTTACCTGCTGAAGGGTGGCATAGCTCGCACAGTTTTGGTGGCTGCCTCGGTCTATCTGGTACAAGTTCATGAACAGGGCCGTCATCGGCGCAATACCCAACTCGGAACAGCGGAGCAAGAACCCGACGATCAAGGAATAACTGTTCGAGGTTAGGAAGGTCGGCGGAAGATCCACCATGTCCAAGTACTCCATGACGAACGGATGGAGGGGGGACCTCAGCCCCTTGGCAAAACTCATGGGATACACTCCGAAATACCCATCCAGAGGATAAAGCACATGATCCGTCAGCTTAGGCACCCTAACCCTACCAAACGGCCCCACGTACATCTAGGCGACCAAGTATTCAGCCGCGTTACTCTGCGGCCTGATAATATAGATGTTGGTAAGGTCCAAGTAGGAGAAGCCTTGACCTTTCTTCGGTCGGCGCCTCCTCTTCAGCGGAGATTTCCCTTTGACAGCAGAAAGGGGACTTGGACACGGAATAGTGGCCGATGTGGACGCTTCATCCACTGCACGTGATACTCCAACATCCTCACCCTCAGAAGACGAGGCGGCTTCCTCGTCCACACTCTCCTCGTCTCTCTGCTCCCCAGATCTGAAGGGACTCAACTCCTCAATCTCCTCACAACACTCTTCAACTACCCCGTAATCAAGGGACTTGGTGGAGGCCTCATCGTCATAGGGGTAGTACTCGTCGTCCAATGGTTTCACCATAACAACTACCCAAGGCCTAGGGAGGATTATATGGGATCTAAGTATGGCTCGTTGACTAACACTAGATCAAAGCCTAAGGAAGCAAAGTATAAAAGAAAACGGAGAAAGGTTGACGAACTGACCTTTGAAGTTTTGAAGAGAGTGAAGAACACTTACGAACAACTTATCTCTCTAGAAAATCCGACAGCACTTCGTTAGCTCAGGTCGCAAATGAGCGCCTCACTTCGGAGGGGAGGGGTATTTATAGAACTCCCTCCAACGGTCACTACACGTGGCATCCCCTCAATGGCCACGCGAACGGTCACCACCCCAAGGGCCATTAAGGTGCCACCGTTTCAAAGATGGGCCAGGCCCACTTCGGGCACCACAAGCCCACTATCAAGGTAAGGTCTACGTACGGTTCAACAGTCAAATGGGTTGCACCCACAACGGCCAAGACATTCAACGGCCACACTAAGGAGAGATATGACCCTCCACGATTCAGAGGTCACGCCTACATCGGCCCTAGTAGCCAACAATTACTTCAACGGCCTGCCCCATGTCAGAACGCCACCTCGGCATCAAAGGCCCCAAGGTGTGCCCATATCGGTCTAACATGTTACCAACAGCAGGGCTCTTTCAACCACCACAAAAACAAAGTTGAAAAGGACCTAACAGCCATCGGCCCCTGTAAAAAACCTACTGATGATAACCTCTTGAAAGCGACCTGCGTCCAAGGGTTCTCCCACAGGGTTACCTTGGCCAGGAATCGCCAAGGGGTTGGATTCAGGGGAAATACGAGGATCCCACTTCGGCCCGGGGTTTCACCTTACTACTTCACCCCTCACTGAACCTTCGGCCTGAAGCAGTGGGGGACTGGGGGACTACACCGGCCTCCAAACGCAACGACAAAATTGAAAATCCAAAAAAGCACAAGTATACAACTACGACAACACCATATCGTCTATGCACCATAACGTCCAGGACCTGTTGGTGCACCCTCGGCCGCAACAAAGTAAGTAAACAAGGAAGCAAAGCTCACCTCCCAGAATGTGACACGTATCGTCCCTCATCGCGTGGCGCTCAGCGGCCTTGGGGTCACGTACTCCATCCTCGGCCAAGGTAAGAAAATAACCCCCCAACGTCCACAAAACCAGGGACACACAACATCCTCTGATTGAGTGCCATTATCGTCCTCGAGGCCATGAACACCAAACTACGAATAATATCGCTTCGGCTTGGAGTACTAAAAGCAACCATGGTGCCTCCTCGACCAGAAACACAAAAGGCAACCAACAACGGCTGAAGAGAGGTCATGTCACCCTCAAAACGGAGACCACTCATCGGCTACTCAGGCCATAACACTCATCATCCTAGAGCACAAAGGCGTGCACCAACCTCAGAACAAGGACCTCCTTTAACCACAGTAGAGGCCACACAACGGCCAAGACAGAGGCCACACAATGGCCAAAACAGGGAATGCACACCCCATCAGCGGAACAATAGTCTCCTTCGTCCACGACGAAGGACATACAACGGCCAAACACAAAGAAAAACCACAGCAGCCCCGCGTCGGCCAAAAACGTCAAGATTGCAGGAATCTACTCTCCCTCACTTCGTCTGCGTCTCAACTCAGAGAGTGGGGGACTCCTGATGGAGTATATGGGCCCAGACCCCAGGACCCACATACTCAGAAGAACAAGAGGCAAAACTGTCACCTAGTGGGACCCTCCATCAACCAGGAAATCATCGACTCAGAACATGATCCAGAGGCCAAGAGAATCGACTGTCTCCGTCGGCCAGACCCCCGTCGGCCACAGAGAGCTCACAGAGACAGATTTTATACTTAGTCATTTCTACATACTTTGTACTCGGCCCAGTAGTGGCCCCATTGTAAATGAGCCTCCTAAGCTCAAGACTTGGGAACCCAACCCACATTTTTTCTATAAATACTCCCCCTGGGAGTAGTTGTAGGGGTTGACAAATTCATTTATTGCAGAACTTATTGCACTTCTCTCTCTAGTTCTAACTTCTCTCTAAAATATATACTCTATCAAGAGGATTAAAATTATGTAAAACAAAAGGAAAGATAGAATTAGAAGGTGAGTCGTCTGAGAAAACTTTCTTAGTGGCTCCCCAAATAACCGGGTTTATACGTAATGTCAATTAATCAAGGCTCAAAAAAAGCGTGCACATGTAAAAACTTGGTTCAGAGGGGATTCAAACTTATTCGAGTAAAAGTTGAATTCCATGGCATGGCCATTTGCACAAAGAAAAGCAACACAAAATATGTATCTTAGGGAAAAACTTAATTCAAGGCCATTTGAAGCCTTTTCCCCATTTTTCAAAGTCGGGGCACGATAAATTTAACTACTTCCGGAGACTTTGTTCCCCACACTCATGCTGCTACCACCTAAATCATCAAATCAGACAAAGACAAACGTCCCATTATTATTGCACAATTCATCAATCTTATGCCTATATAGACGTAACCTTAGTGGCCGGATTCTCATCAATCAATAAATCAACTTATCAACCGCGGCCCGCCCACTGCAATTTCACTGCTGCCCTTCCACCCACGGCCGCCGGGAAAGAGACCATGTCTACGAAGGAGTGTACCCACCACAAGGAGCGGAGAAGAAAGATAATCCGCCGAGCCATTTCGGGCGGTCTGATTTTCCTCTTCGTCCTCCTCCTCACCATCCTCCTCGTCTGGGCCATTCTTCAGCCCGCCAAACCCACTTTCGTGCTCCAAGAAGCCACAATCTTTAGCTTCAACCTCTCCGCCCCCAACATCTTGTCCACCAACATCCAGGTCACCGTCATCGCCCGGAACCCCAACAGCCACGTCGGCGTTTACTACGACCGGCTCAAGGCCTACGCTACGTACCACGGCCAGCAAATCACTTTCTACGCCGATATCCCGCCGGTCTACCAGGGTCATAAGGAGGTCAATGTTTGGTCTCCGTTTGTTTACGGCAACAACGTCCCCATTGCGCCCTTCAACGGCAACTCTCTTACCCTGGATAGGGCTGACGGCGCCGTCCTGCTCACCGTCAGGATTATAGGGCGAGTTAAGTGGAGGGTGGGGACTGTCGTCACCGGACACTACCATCTTCGCGTCACTTGCGAGGCTTACATTCCGTTTGGGGTGACGCCCAGAGACGGCGTGGGTAACGCTGTGAAATATCAGATCGCCCGTACTTGCGGCGTTAGTGTTTAATACTCGTAGTTAAGTCAACCAAGTGGCCGGTCGTCTAATTCTACAGTACTTTATTTTATTTCCCTTTTCTTTTTGTTTTTTATCCCCTGCTGCTGAGCGTATATAGTGAGTGGGTTTAGCAACAATTATACATTTTTCTTTAGCAATAATAGCTCCACCAATAACACTATTTGTTATAATTATTATTAGGGCTAGGATGATTATGTTATGGTTAATGGTTGGGAGCAAGGGGTGCGGATTATTAAAAATAACTTAAAGTTTGATAATTACGAAAATATTGTGCAATAAAGATTTTTTAGATATCTATCTATCATCTATGCCAACATTCTCCCGTACCTTTCAAGTTCATATAACTAACTAGTTTAGCAACGCGCGATGCGCGTTCGTGTAAATGCCCAAGACCATTATAGGCATATTAACTGGTGATGTTAGGTTGAGTAAGCTATTTGTATACATAGCTTGTTAGAAATTGATAAAGTCACTTGATGAATAAAATATTTGTAGCCTAGATTGTATGTGAGGAAATAAACCAACCTATATAATTATAGTAACCATAATACTAAGATAAGATTTATTGAAAGAATCACCGAAAGAGCAGCCAACGTTAACACCAATGGACAAAGAAGATAATGGCATTAAAGAGTATGAAGGTTGTTTTCATCGGCCCGAGAAGAAACGGCCACTTGCCGGTTTCTGGAGAGGATATTTGAGGTAGAAAGCAAGTTTGAGTCTGAGAAAAAGTCGCAGTTAGCTAAAGAACTCAGCTTGTAGCCTAGACAAGTTGCAATTTGGTTCCAGAACCGAAGAGCCCGTTTGATGGTCAAACTGATTGAGGACTATGATTCCATGAAAGCTAGATTTGATAAACTGAAAGGTGATCATGATTTCCTCTCTGAGGAGAACGAAAATCTAAAGAATGAGGTTCAGCTGCTAAAAGATAAAATTGCTCATTCAGGAACAACAGTGGGGCACACAATTCGAATCAACCCATAAAACCAGCACATATAATGATGAGAATGAACCTCACATATATAGAGCATTGTGCTAGTTTGATCTCCCCAAAGGGAGAGATCTCCAGTGGTGTGCAAGGATGAAAATGCAAGTTGGGTTAAAAGTGATATTTTTTGATTGAGAAAGCCCACATTACATTGATGAGAACTGCTCATCATCACACATATTGGAGTCTGATTTCTCTTAGAATGAAGGTGAAAGCCTGATCAGCAGCAACAGGAACATTTTCCAGCAGCTTGCCTGCTCCTAAGAGTTGAAGAAGATCATGGACACCAAAGTATAGCAAGTTCATTTTGAAGTACATAATATGAATAAAGATTCATGAGAAAAAAAAATAAGGATAACTTTTATTGAAGTTCATTTAGTATTGAACAAAAAGAAGATAATTATCAAAAGTATTTGAGACCAAATTTCCTAATATTTTTTATTTTTTGAAGTTCATTAGGTTAAAGCAACCAAATATGTATATTCTTAATTCGATATTGATTGAGCCACGTGTGGGCATATCAGCTCGGTGGATTCGGAGTATGATTTTATCTGAGAAAACAAACATAGCAAAAGAGACTACTATTTTATGTTTTACCCATGCTAAGACATTATATTTAGGGCAACATGTTCTTTTTTTAGTCACCTAAATGGAAATATTAGCTCTTGTGCTTGAAGTACATAGTAAGACCTCACTCCAAGAAGTAATAAGGAGAAAAAATACAAGATACTTATCCTTTCGACTACCACACAAATTTAGTAAAACAAATCCCATATAAAACTCTTGAGAAGTTTGCTGAAATAGAGAGAAGGAAAAAATATATTTCGAGGATCACATGAATATTTGAGGCCTAAGCACCACCCCAACTAATGAGAAGAAGGAGACAAATTGGTGGAAAACATATATGGGAAACCCGCTGCAATTTCCAAAGAGATTGATTGAACATGAAATGAAGCAACATGAAGGGTTTGAATTTACATCGTTCCAGAGTTGCAGTATGCTTGGAAGGAAAAAACAAGTCCACTTGCAATAATATGCTTAGGGAAACATGTTCAAAAGAGTACTTTAACAGAGCAGTTAGACACTTCAAAAGACAAACCAGGTCATGCATTGTATGTAAACAATTCTCATTGTGATATTACCAGATCTGTTTGTAACTCTATATTGTGAGCCACTTTAATGATACTTCTTATAATTACTCAAGAGGTTGTTTTAAGAGCTTGAATTTGGCTCGATAGATAATTAGTCAAGAAGTATACCTAACATTTTCAGTTAGAAAGGAAGGAGATCATAAGATAATAAGATAAGATAAAACGAAAGATAAAAAGAAGATAAAAAGGACAAAACAAAATAGATAAAAAGATAAAACGGATAAGATTAATCATTAAAAGAGAAACTACACAGTTACACACCATCGGTAGCTCTGTTAATAAAAAAGCAAATGCTGAAAAACAGAGACTAAAAAAGGTGAATTGAAGCTCATTTCAAATTTTATCCCACTTTGATAATACTCATGATGCCATTAACTTTCTTAATGGCTGCCAAACTAATGGGAAGCTCTCCTCGTCCATGGTCTACAACCTCCTTAGAATTAAAGGGGGAACTCATATGTGGATGACATTCATTTGGAAGAACTACATCCCCTCCAAATTCTCCTTCACGGCTTGGTTAGCTTTTCGGGACCGCCTTGCTACTTTTGATAACTTGCATAGATTAGATGTTGTTAATGTTTGCCCCTTTTGTAAGGGTGGTCCAGAAACGGTGCCACACCTATTTTTTGCTTGTTCTTTTTCAAGGATAGTATGTCATAGAGTAAAGACCTGGCTGGACATTTCTAGGGAGATGGGAACCTTGCATAGCTCGTTGAAATGGATTAAGAGGAAGAGGCAAGGCTCGGGGGTCAAAGCTAAGGCGGCTATGATTGCTTTTTGCTACTCCATCTATTGGATTTGGAGGACAAGGCATGCCACCTGTTTTGACGGCCTGACTCTTAATGAAGATGATGTTTTTGCTAGAATCCAGTACATTGTTTACAAGATCTTGTATAGCCTTTTTCCTATTGAGCTTGTAGCTTTTTGAGTCCTTGTTTTGGCCTTTCACTTTGTCTTTGGTGATTGGTCGAGGGCTGTTTTTTGGTGCTTGTTGTTGGTGCGTTTTTTTGTCTTCACCTTCACTGTTTCTAGGTGTTGGTTGTTGCGTTTGGTTGGCTGCTTTGCTAGGGAAGGGTTGTCCTTTCCGGATAACCTACAGTTTTGTTTCCCTTTTTGCTTGTAAATTCTTGAATACCCCTCTTCTCTTGGGTGTTTTCTTTAATATACTTACAGTTCATCCAAAAAAAGAAAAGACCAAGTATCATTCTCGAAAAAGACTCTGAGTGGAGCAGGGTAGCAAAGAGTATGTAGTGACTTTGGCCATATGATAGGTGTTTGGTAAAGAACCTATCTGATGTATAGTGTACCCGGGGGGTAGCTTATCCGGGGGGTTATTATGAGAATAACCTAGAGAGAAGTCAGAGCAAACAAGTAGGATAGAGAGGCGATTATATTAATGAACTCGAGATGTTCTGGCTTTACAAGAGGAGTAAGGGCTTCTATTTATAGCAATAATAAATGCGATGGGAGTACATGTGTCAATAATCTAACGGCCGAGGAGTCACCTCAATCGGGGTGGCACTGACACTCGCATGTGCACCGCATTAAATGCGATGGGTGGACGTGACGCCGCATTAATGCGGTGGTTGGCTATCTCCAAATGGAATCTTCGATGATTGACCCTGTTAGCCGAAGGCATTCCACACAGCCGAGGGCTCTGTGTAGCCAAAGGCTCTGTATAGCCGAGGGCTTGGTTCAGCCGAAGGCTTCTCTAATGCCGAGGGCTCCCGTTCTCTGCCATTTTCTTCCAGTAGCTTCGTATGCTCGAATATGGCTGTTCTGTGAGTTTTGGAGCCTTAATTCGGCCATAGTGCCGAAGGCTACCCGTATGTACACCACGGTTCTCCTAGAGCTTGGGCCGCAGCATCTCGGCACCTTGGGCCTCCCACGCTTCTTAGGCTTGTTGGGCCTGTGATAGAGTAGTAGGAATCTGTGGACCGGGGGTTCCTGGGCCATATACTCCATCAGGAGTCCCTCACTCCTTTTGCCGAAAGGTACTTGAGGGAAAAGGAGTAATTGTGGTGATTCTCTGCTGTTGGGTGCCTTTGACCGAGCACTTGCCCTCTGCTGTTCGCCGAAGGCTTCCCTCAGTCCCCCACATGTCAAGGGCTTTCTGAGGGAAATGTAGTTGTGGTGCCTGTATGTGTTGCAAGTGACTTCTGCAAAATTTTGACATTTTTGTTTTTCCCGGAGGGTGTTGTGATCAAATGCACCCGGGGGAGTTGTCTAGTTATTTTCCCTTAGGCTATGTGTGTTGATTTTTTAAATGTAAGCATTATTTATAGTTTCCCCAAGGGCTTCTCCCAGTCCCCCACTCCTTTAGGCCGAAGGCTAGTTCGGGATGAAGGAGTTTTGATGTGTTGATGAGCTACCGAGGGGTGGCAACATTGATAAGCCGAAGGCTTATGCTGCTGCTTGCTCGAAGGCACTTGGTGACAGCGGACTCGCCGAAGGATGCTGTGGATGTTAGCTGGAGGCTATCATCTGAGGACACTCCGGTGTTCATGGGATATAGTCGTTGTAATAGAGTCGTTGGAGGTATGATCCACGTGGCATGCACCTCTTGGCCGAAGGCGGGCGGGTGCCACCCATTGGGTGAAGTGGCGGTTTGTAATGATGGGTTTTTCAAATCGAGGCCCGTACTTCGAGGCTGGGAGCCTATAAATACCCCAAGTCCGGGCTCATTTCCTCTGTGCGATTTTACGTGATACTGAAGCTCCGCCAAAATTTCTAGAGAGATAAACACCGGCATCCGATCAAATCCTTGTTTTCGAGGTTAGTTCCTCACCTGTTCTTCCATTTCTTCGTATCTTTTGCTTTGTGGCCTTAGATATCGTGTTTAGAGATTTAGAGCCTTAGGAAATTCTTCCCTCCCCAACCCTTTCGGCTATATCACCCACAACATGTCTTCGGTAAGTGATTCCCAAGATATCTCGGGGGAGCCGTCGGTGCAGCAAGAGAGCTACTCGGACGTGGAGTCCTCAAATGAGCAGGTCTCGCTAGCGAATGATTCTACTGTAGCCGAAGAGGTTCAGGACAACCTTCGGACCGAGGCGGAAGTGGAGGAGTTTGAACAAGTCGTAGAGGACGAGGAAATGGCTCTCGCTCTCCAGGTGGCGGAGGAGGAGGAAGAAAAAGAGAGGCGGCAGGTGACAGTCGCCGTTCTGCCTCCGCGAAGTGTTAGGGTAGCGAGTGGCTCCTAGCCGATTGATGTTGAGCCCCTTCGGGTAGCCGCGGGGAAGAAGAAGAGGAAGCCGACAGCAGAGGGCCCTTCCAAGAGAAAGAAGGTTGTCGTCGATGCGGGGCAGCCGGTGGGGATCCCCGAAGGTCACTCCTACCTCAACACTACCGCCCTTGATTTGAAGACAACGGCCATGCCTTCTTATTGCCAGGCTACGCAGCTCCTGGCGGGGCCTTCGGTTCAAGTGGTGGATCCGGGCCCGGAAGACTTATTGTCCAGCCCCCCCGAGGGTTGTTTTGCAGTGCACGTGCTCTCTGTGGAGCTAGGCCTCCGGTTTCTGCTCCACCCGTTTTTGTTGGGGCTGGCTCCCTGTCAATGGACTCCCAATAGTCATTCTTACATCTCCAGGTTCCTCTCGTTGTGCCGGAGCCGGGGGGTTAAGCCCTCCTTGGACCAGTTTTTCATGTCCTTCAACCTCTGCCGAGGGGGAGCTGCTAATAGCGAGGGCTTCGCCAACCTTCAGCAGGTGCCAGCGTGGAGGCTATTTTCGGAGGTGCCCTCGTCCCATAAGATGTGAAGGGACCGGTTCTGTTATATCAGGACGCCGGATAATGATTTCCCGAGGCCGCTCCATAATCATTTCCGGAGGCATCTAAAAGTGGGGAGCGCTGCTTTGGAGAAGGAAGGGAAGAAGCTTACGGCCAAGCCCGAAGGCTCTGATCAGCTGATAACAATCAAGGCTGCAACCCACCCAGATGATCTTTATGATTTGGCCTTCCGGCGGTTTCGGCTGGAGGGGGGGAAGGATGAGAAGTATCCCCCGACGGACCGAGGTTATCAGAATGCCGAAGGTTGTTGCCGAGGGATCTCTTCCTTAGTACTTAGAATTTTTTTGGCTTTGATTTGCTTTGATTCTAATATTTCCTTGTCCTTTGCAGGTGACATTATGGACCCGAGGGCATTCACTAAGCTGTCCAAACAGTTGGTGAAGGGGGAGAAGAGGAAGAAGGAGGGGCCTCGGTGAGCTTAACTCAAAGGTCCTCCCGTAACTTGCTGTGGGTTGTTTTCCTTGCAGGCTTGCATTGGCCTCGGTGAGCTTCTCCATAGGATGGAACA